GAAAAGTTTTTTTTTTCAGGCTTCATGGACGAAACGAGAGCCAGACCAGCTGAAGAGTTGTTTTGACCATTATCCTCTCAATGCCAACAAAAGCCGTCATGATGCTTCCATACTCAACGACGTCGTGGTACTTGATGGGCTTCATAGAAGAGTAGTCACCATCAATGGCAAGACGTGGGTCCCGGCTAGAACGTACGTACCAAAGATAACACTATGCTATTTAGACCCGGAGACACCATAGTTGTACCATATATGGCTGAAGTTTTGCTCAGAGTACACAATAAGGTTCTCATGGACTCAATCACCATCCACGTCCATGGAATTGACAAACAAGGTAAATTTTAAATCAATTTATTAAAAGGTAAAATTGCATTTTTAGGGTTATGGTATATGGATGGGGTTGCGTTCATCCAGCAGTGCCCTATTCAAAGCACAAACTAGTAAGTTCTCCTAAAATTGCTTAATTATGATTTATTTGAGAAAATAAAAAGAAAATTCTGGAACGTTCGTGATGTGTCCGTTTGATCCAAGCATCGACTGAGCGATTGACCCATATAAGAAACTGATAACAAATCCTGGCTATATGGTAATTAGCTCGATAAAGTCCGTTCCTGCTTTACTTCCAAATGCTATAGAGACACAACCGAAACATTTCCACTTTTTCCCAACTCAGAAAATGGGGTACGAAAAATAGGTGATTTTGCTTTACATAAATAAACAGATCAGTTTGCCTTCACCAGAATTTCTTGAAAGAAATTGCAAGTTATAAGAAAATGGTTGCATATTCTCAGATTTTTTCACCGTCATCATTCTCTCTTGGCCGGCATAATAATTTTCACACTGACGTTTTTGGCGAAACCTCAATCACGTTTTCTCCACTTACAAACAGCTCCGCAAATAAAATATTTATGTTAAGCTCTTTTTTGAATAGATTAGGTTGGCAAAAAAAGTTATGTCATGTTCTTTTTAGAATAATCTGCCTGGCAAAAAATAGCTAAGTCATACCCTTTTTCGAATAATTTTTGTCACAGCAATCAAAAACATTCAAATGACCAAAAATAGCCCATAAGTAAACATATTCGGAGATTGCTAGATTCAGTGACTAACGATGTTCAGTATGGTAATCACCATGTGGTATGATGTGATTTACCGATTCCCAACCATAGATCATATACGCAACAAATAGATAATTTCCATATTAACATGACTTCGCTCATTCCAGCTTTGAGTATCGTTTCATCGCTGACAACAAGGGAACGCATTGGTATCATGGACATTTTCAAACAGATAGGGGTGATGGTCTGTTTGGAGGTGAATAAATTGCTAATCCACCTATAAAAGATGTACAGGACAATATTTTTAGGCTTTGTGGTCCTGGACCCAAATAATAGAGCAGTGGATCTGGGTAATGGGGTAGCGAAGGTTCCCAACAGAGAGTATTATATGATGTTGCAAGTGAGTTCAACTTTTGCGGTCAAATACTACTCCTGAGAGAAAAATCAATTTTTCTGTCTCCTCTTTCCTCAACGACAAACTTTTCGCGCAGTGTTAAATCTTGTAGCCTCATCTTTCGCAAAAAAAAGTAGAGGAAACAACCAAATGGGAGAGTGCAGAGTGTTTTTTACGCACATATGTTTCCATT